CTTTTGTCACGTACAAAACACTTTTAATAATGATTTATTGAAAGAAAATGCTCTGAAGTATAAATAAAAATGGTTTGATTTACTTAAAGGGTTTTAAAATGGAATATATTGATCATTGTTGGCTTACAACACAAGAACCTTTTTAAAGTTGCGATCACAAAAGTAAATGTTACCATCTCCCTCCAAGTCGTCGGTCTCATCAGCCCAGCTCGTGGGCTTTGGGGCTGGGTAACTTGGTGGAGCATTTCCCCCGCTGTCCTCTGCCAAAAAGTCAGTCAGCGTAAGGGTCTTACCCTTTTTCTTATTCTTTTTGCCTGTCAAAAAACAGAATTAGAACTTTAATTTTAAGTAGGGAAAACGGAACACTGGTCACATGGTATGTAAATGAGTTCACTTTCAAATCTGATTCTTTTACATTTAAGCGTGTAATCACCAGAATTACTGACACTTCTACTGTTTTCCATATTGAACACAGCACCTGTTTGCACTCAGTCTCAATAAAGCGAGGCGTGGCCGCATGGGAAAGTGATGTTAAAGCATAGCATACCTTCTATTAATAGACCATTTTTAACCCCCCCAAAAAACTGTATCAATCAATTCAAGTAAATATAAGCATGACTGCGCTTATCCCAAACGAATCCCTTCTCCAACCCTCATTTCCCAACAACTCATTTCCCAACCCTCCCCTTCTCTCTCTATATATATAGGTTTTTTTATTTGTTGGGTACATTTTTGCCTTTATTTAAAACGGATATATTAAATATATAGACTAAAATCAGACTATTACGGGTCAAAATTGTCATGTTAATGCTATTAACTTGGAAATTTTACTTGTGATGAGACGAGAGGGTATGGAAAAACGAGGAAATATAAATTTTAGCAATGCTAGTAAATCAGCATTAGCATCCTTCCATTGCATTATCCATTCAGGACTTCATGTCCCTTGCCTAATCTGCGCAATATTCAATTTTGAAAACAAAATATCCATCTACAAGCCCGGCTGGCACTCTCGCTTGTTGTTGAAGTTCAGAAATGGAGGGAAGCATTGTTTTGAAGAACTACAAGCCTCTGAGCTCTTTTGTGACAAAGTGCACCGTCAGGGCATTCCAGCTCTCTGCAACTGATCTGTGTTTACTGTAGGACTACGACACCTCGCTGTAAAACCACAACAGAAATCCAGCTCTCCGACACCAGCATCATTCAGCCTGACTTATAATGACTTGCTTCATCGGATACAGTCAAAACATGTTCATACTAGATTATTTTTTCCCTCATCTGCATTTTACTAGAATTGTGGGTTTACTTTGTTCCAGAATACAGAAACCTGCATGTGAGTTGTATGATGCTTCTAAATTCAGTTCCCAATGGAATGAGCTTGACCAAGTGATTAGTATAGTAATCTAAGTAGTGAAGGCGTATGTTTGATTTCCCCCAAACAAGAGGTAAGACAGGTTCCTGAAGGCATTGCATTAAGAAATACCAGAGACATAAGATTCCCTTAAAGTCAGATTTTACAACATATTTTATATCAAGTCCATATAGTTTTTTGGTTTTATATGTTTGCTTCAGAATATCTACATCTCAAGAATGTAAAGGGAAAAAATTGATTTCCAACTCTGGCCTTGCTAAAGTAGACAAGTAGAAAGTCCAGCAATATTTTTTAATGGGAGTAAAGGGATGTTTTGGACCGATAGCAGATTTCAATAATAGAAATAAGACTTAGAAATGGACAGTACAATTAAATTAGAGTGCATTCACTGGAGTGCAAACAAAATTCTATTGTTAGTAAAATGCAAATTTTTATGTTTAGCAACAGATTAGTGACAAATCATAAACAAAAAAACATCGGAAGAAATGGTTACATTATGGTTGACCTGGACATCAACAATACCGCAGCTTTTCCAACGACTATAAGCTCAAGTGTTGTGAGCTTGGGGGTTTCTTTTTAAAAAAAAAGCATTTGGATGAGGTTCTAATAGTGTAGTAGAGTGACACGCCCACTCAGAGCCACAAGTCAGTGGAAAATAAAACTGAAACTCTGAAAATAAAACAAACTGGTAATAGCATGATCAATAACACCAGTATTAAAAATTAAATGGCACTAAAGTATATTTTTGTCATATTAATCTAAATATTTCTAAAGGACTAAGGGTGCTTTCACACCTCTAGTTTGTTTAATTTGTTTCGGATCAAGAGGAATAGCTGATACATTGTTGTAACGGTCTACAGATTTAGTTCGTTAAAAAATTAAACAAACTAATCTGCAGACGATTACAACAATGTTGTCAACTTGAAATACAGTCATGTGACATCATACGGGTATTGGTCACATACATCATTGTATGTTTTTTTTGTGACTGCTTTTTGATTGGACAGTATGAACATGCACACAGAAAAAAACACCACCTGACTCGAGGGATAACATCCTCAAAACGGACAGATGTCTATGCTTCATTATATCTTTTGTGTTAATGGCTTATAATGCACATTGCAAATGATGTTCTGATTACAAACTCCTCCAAGTTGGACAGCGAGCTGCCATGATAAACGTTGCTTTGTAAACCGACACACACCAACCCCTTAATGCCACGCGGAATCGAGTACGGTACTTGTATTGGCTCAAAAAAAAATCTGTATTTTTGTTGCATTTTTTTTAGTTGGGATCTGAGTTCGATCATGTTCTCAGCACAAACGTACAACTCTAGAGTACATTTGGAAACGTGCCAAAACCACCTTGAGCAGGTCTTGGAAAGCTTTATTGTTCCGCTTTTCACTTCAGTTGTTTCTTTCTCACTTGTCCAAACGAACCCTATTTAGAATTAATTGTGATATGCATCATTTATATGATGATTTAGACCACATTGGTGAAAAGTGACTATGGCGAAATCACAGATTTTTTTTTTAAATCAATTAAAAGAAGGTCATGTCGAAATCACTAAATAAAAATGAGGAGAAGCAGATTAGCATATACAACATTAAGGATTACTGTGTGAGTAATTAAAGTGGGTAATTTAGAATTATTTATAATAACTAACTGTCATGACACTCATTTAAAGAAAGAACGTTAGATTAAACTGTTTAAATCATAATTTGAAAATGTATCTTTAAAGATGAATGCGAGTACCTTGAGCTCAATAATTATCGTTACTGTTATTGAATCTTTACAGTTTACAAAGTTGTTAAACAAAATTCCTAAACTGTTTTGAACAGTAATAGCGATTGTTACTTATATTTACTATATAAATTCTCGAGATAAACATAGCAGCCCCTCCCTCAGAACAAAACAAGCTTCCACCGATCGTATTTTCATCATCTCGAGCATTTTTTTTTACTTTTTAAAATGTTTAGAAATCCACATAAGCACAATCGCAGCTATATTTAATTGTAGATAATGAAATGTCAATGACACAAGAAAACAGACACTCAACGCAAACATAAACAATGGATCATGTTGTGCACTTTCGCCAAAAAAATAACAAGAGTTCAATTGTTCATTTAGCAAACGCAAACAGCGTTTTCTGACACATCATCTAAGTTTAATAAAGAGTCTGGGCAGTGTGTTCTTGAGCATAACAAATATCTATTGGTGCAGTTTCTACGCAGCGTCCCACTACAAATCGAACTTTTATATTAATATCTCATCACTGCGTCATCTCACTCACAAGCGGTTTCACACAGGATGCAATTTATCTGCCACTCCAATGAATTTCACTGACACAAATGTCACGACCACAATAAAAATTGCAAACCGGCCCTGGCACAAATCTAAAAAATCCTCACCTGAAGCCGCCATGCTGGAAAAGGAGTGCGTGTCATATCCCCGGATGAGGGCGTGGTTTGCCACCTGACGCTACACTGCGCTTAAGGCATGATGGGGAATGAAGTTTTAATGTATGGAATGTGGAAAGAAGCGTTTAAAAATGTATAAAAAAATAATGAAGGCAATGTCTTTAAAACACACACATGTCAGAGCTGCCACACTTCCTGCTTCTTCATGTGGGATGGCTGACATAGACGTATTACACCTCAGATATCGTCAGCTTAGGTTCAAGCAGCTTGTTTTGGCACGCTGCTTCTTTGGCGGCCTTCACTAGCCCACAACATCTCAGTCCTGTTACCTCAATTGCTGTTACTTGTGATCCCACACTTCAATGTGTGCATGGAGGTACTGTGGTCAGTCACCTGACCCTCTCTCTCCTCTGTGATGTACACATGGTCTTTGCTGGGTTTAGTGGTAGGAATCCAAAGCTCAAATTGATCTTGAACTACACTTCGGAAACAGCCACTGCTCAGCAGCAGAATTTGAGAGATTTAATGTTCTGTGGTGTTACTAACCTCATATCTTCTCATAGAACAGCATGTAGCAGTTCTTCCCGATGTTCTTGGACATGTTGGAGAAGCTGGTTTTGGTGACCCAGGAGTCGTTGCACTCCAGCCACCCATGTCCTCTAAAGTCATGTATGTGACTGATGTAGTGCCCTTTAAAGGAAACCACCTTTAGTTTAAAGCTTAATGAGTGGAAATGCCACACAGAAAAGAATCTCTCACCACAATGAATACTTTGTCCCAGATGAGAGACTACACCGGCAAGTGAGTATCGGGAGCTGTTGGCATCTAATACTTCCTCCTGAGAAACAAAAGATGCCAAATATTAGACAGTCTATTTCTCAACATTCTAGTCTATTCTTGTGTTGCCTAGAATTTGCTCCCTTCTTGCCTGTGTGTCTTCCTCAGCAGCCTCAACTCCTGTCTTGCTCTCAATCACCTGAATGTCTCTGCTCTCTGCCAAAGATCACACATAAAAGAAGAGGTCATTGACTTCTCAAAGCAACATCAATGTATAACTAGATGGCAAAAGCTTGTGCACAAACTTTCATGTTGGCTTGTAAAAGTGTAAAAGTATTTTTATAAGCAAAATTGAATGGTTTGCCAAGGTAGAATTTCTGGTTGCTATGGAGGAGTCACTGACATCAGAGAAAGTTTCCCATGCCAATATAAGCTTTCCTGTGGCTCAGTTGGTAGAGCATTCCGCTAACAACGCAAAGGTTGTGGGTTCAGAACTGACAGAAAATATATGTTCATTCAAAATGTAAGTCGCTTTGGATAAAAGCGTCTGCCAAATGCATAAATGTAAATGTGATGTAAATGCAATATGAATAATATAAACCAAAACCTTAGTCTCTATGATTTTCCTTAGCTGAGATATGCCAAACTGGTTGCTATGTAAACAGTGTGGCTGCGATGGAGGGGTCAGAGACATTTTATGATGTTCACTTTGTCACTATATGTTATATAATGTCTTTATCATTTACCAAAGCTGAGAAAACGGGGTTGCTAGGGTAAACTGTTTGGTTTCTAGGGAGCTGTGACTACGAGGAACATTATGATGTTCACTTTGTCACTATAAGTCATATAACCCCCATGTCTTTATCATTTACCAAAGCTGAGAAAACGTGGTTGCTAGGGTAAACAGTTTGGTTTCTAGGGAGCTGCCAGAAAGGTCATAAATGTTTGTCATAATCCATTTTGAATTTTTGTTGCGTTTCCTAATTATTTAAGGTAAACTGTAAATTTGTAACCCCTTCTAGAGCCTAAGGTTAAAAAACTTTCCCACAGTGTTTGGTATAATCTTGCACAGTTAAATCAATGGAGTCAAATTTCCTAGGATTCTCAGCGATTTCGAAGAATTCCTTCAGTGGTCTGAAAAGATATAGCAACCAGAGTGAAACCAGTTTGGATGCCTTGGCAAACTTTAGTGGCTGTAGCTTGAAGAGTCTTGATAGAACTATATATTTTTTTGTCCAAAGCAAAAGACAAATAACAATATTTTGGCTTAAACATTTTTTCTACTTTCATTAAGTAGAAAAAATTCTATTTGATGAATTGAATCTCACCATTGCCTGAGGTCATAAGGAACTCTTCTGGAACTTTCAGTCTGTCATTTATCTTGTGCATCAACCCCTTGGAATTAAAGCGCAATACTTGAAGAACCAGGAGGCTATGGAGATAACCAGATATTAAGACACCGGACTCATTTTTGGTTATTTAGCAGTAAAATATCTGTTGTACCTTGGAAACTGCATGAATTCGAGCGTTTCTGATGTTTTAGAGCCACCACACTCTCTACAAGAGAAGTCCAATGTAGATCTCTGCAGAAAAATGCTTCCAACAATCAGAATCTACTCTAAACGGCTTGTTTTTAAAAAGGGAAGGTTCTTCTAAAAGTCCCGCTCACCCTGAAGAACATCTCTAGGCTGTCTGTTATGCTTCTTTGTGGAGTGATGTTTAGAGACACACAGTTGTTGTTCTCCATCAAGCTCCTATGGAAGCCACAGCTGAAATGGTAGAAGTTCAGTGTTACATAAAGGGCTCTGAACATGAGCACGAGTGGATGTGTGATGTCATCATTACTTGGTGCAGGTGAGCAGGCGTTTGAGCCTAAAATCCAGACTGGCTGCTGGGCAGGAGTACTCCGGCCAATTGCTCTGCAGAAATTTGCCTTCCTCTTTCAAAATGGACAGGAAGTGCACCATGAACTCATGAGCATCCTGAAAGAGAAAAAGTGGAGGATGAAGATGTTAAATGGAGACAAAATAAAGTGAAATAAGTTTGTTCTTCTTGTTCACCTGCTGAGTATCTCCAGAGAATTGAGTATGGCGAGATTCAATGTGGTGCTTCAGTTTCCTCAAGAGATTCCCCTTCAGCGTCTGATTTTCACTCATGAGCCGGACTTTTTGTAAGTCAATCAAGGCCCTAGAGAGAAAGACAGATCTTGCTTCAGTGCTGGTTGCATATTCTTAATAATTATTGGTGTAATAACTCTATATATAATAATATATTAAGTGAAAGGCTGGCTTTACCTGAGCGTCCTTGTCTTGTCGTTATACAGCTCCAAATCATAAAGCAACTTATCCTGAAACAAGGAATTCCCCAGGAGACACTGCAGGACCGCGTTCATATAACATGTGTTTCCTATATTTGGCAAACTGTAGCAGGAGTTTATTCAGTTAGTGGCTGTGTGAGATTCTATAAGATTATTTCTGTTTTATGGCTGTGCATATTTATATCATTCACCCAAAGTGCTTGATCTTAAGCTGCGGGATACGTGCCCATGTTTTAATCTGGGCAATAGCTCTGTGGAAACATTAGTCACATGTTAAGACCAATTTTACAGAGTATGAGAAGCTTAAATATAACTAAACGGCTAAAGTTTGTACAAACCTTGATGTTGGCTTGTTAATGTGCCATTTAACATTTAACAGTATTGTATGAGCAAAAATGGGTCGGTTGTCGAGGTCGAATTTTTGGTTGCTATGTAAGAGTTTGTGGCAAAGTTTGTTAAGCCTGTATGAGTGATATAAGCAAACCCACATTTCTCTATGATTTTTCTTAGCTGAGATAATGATATGCCAAATTAGTTTCTATGGTAAACATTCTGGTTGGAAGTGTTTTTGAAGTTCCCTTTGTCCGTATAAGTTACATAAACTAGGGTAAATAACTAGGGTATATAAGTTGCTAGGGTAAACAGTTTGGTTGTTAGAGAGCCGTCAGTGAGTTCATATATTTTTTTTTTATTTGTTACTATATGATTAATAAATCATAAACCCCCTATTTCACCATGATAGTTAATCTTGAAGATATTTGCTGTTTCACATTCATTTTAAATTGTCAATGGTAAATAGTTAACCCCTTCTAAAGCCTGTAGTTTTTTTTTTTTTTTTTTCAAAGTTTGACTCCATGTTAATTCAATATCAAATTTCCCAGCATTCTCAAGAGTTTACTTTAGTGGTAACAGTCTGAAAAGAAATAGCTACTTGAGTTAGACCAGTTTGGATGTTTTTGCAAAGTGGCTGTTTGAATGGTCTAGAAGGAGATGGGTTTAGAATATTTTTATCTAAACAAAAAACACTACATTACCAACCTGTTGAGAGTCTCATCGCTTGCTGCATCTGTAAAGACAAAAAGTTTGTTTTGAATATATTATTATAAGATGATTCTGTATAATATATGAGACTAGCGATGTAATAATGAACAATATATCGAGGGAGATATTTTTGTTGCTGTTTCCCATTTATTTTCAATGGCCATTAAAAGTCAAAGGTAAATATTTAACCCCTTCTAGAGCCTGGGGTTCAGATACTTTTGTTGGCTGGAAATGTTCTTGCACAGACTGATAGTGTGGTGAAGTTTCTTTGAGATACAAATGAAGATAGTTCTACAAAGATAGTTTTACAAAGTTTGACCCCATGAAAAATAATGAAAATTAATGAAAAATTTCTCTGCATTCTCAGCTATTTTCCAAAACCCAGTTTGGATGTCTTTACAAAGTGGCTGAACCAAAAGACGATTAACAATATTGGTAATAAAATAATATCTGAAAGCTTATTTTTTTGTCTTTAATTATAATTACCGGTAATTATATTTATTGTCTTTAATTATAGATAAAAATATTATTATAATTTTTTTTTGTAACATGAAGATGATATTGTGATATGTATAGTGAGCAGACTTTATTAATGTTTTTGTGTTTTTGTGTATTCTCAATTCACTCAAATCACATTATTGTCAATGAGAACAGGGCAAGGTCTGAAATCGCCTCCAGTGGGGATGCATTGTGACAAGTGCGGTATTAATATGTAATAGACATTATTTTAATAAAGCAATACTTGTGTAAAGTTTGTGAGAAGAGCATTCTTGTTGTCGACAAAACCTTTGAGAGTTGCTGAATCCTGAGGCTCACACTCTTCGAAGTCACTGGAATCCGGGTAGCATTCGACAGACTGCTCGAACACTGAAGACTCAACAGTCAGTACTGAGAAGACAGAATAATGTCATTTATTAACTGGAACATTAATGCGTACTATTATACAAACTCTCACCACTAACAGATTCCTCCTGATGATCCTCCTCCTGTAGATTCACCCCTGAATCCAAGGAACCACTGGACGCAGGAGAGGAAGGAGCTTTGGAGCATGTGTAGGTCAATAATGTCTCAGTGAGCTCTTCCTCCTCATTAGACGACACACAGCACAGATGGAACGAACGAATTCTGCGGAAGATCCGGTGTACAGATGGAAACTTGTGCTTCTTCTGCTGCTTTTTAGTTTGACTCTCCATCTTGTCAACACAAATGCCACTAAACAATATCCAAAATGGTAAATGATTAAAATAAGATCATTCTAACAGACCTATTAATTCTTCCATACACTCTTAAAAAATAGGTTCTTCAGTGGTTCTTGCAGGTTTGAAGGTGCTATATGGCACTTTTTTCACTTTTATAGCACTTTTTAGGCTCTTCACTGGTTCTTTGTGGTTCTAGAGGGACTATCATAGCACTTTTTTTTAGCGTAAAGAACCTGGACATTTTGGTACTTGTGTTTCTAAAGTAGTTCTTTGTTGTTTTTAATGTGCTATAAATGGACGCTGGTCATATACATCATGCTAAAGTTTTTTTTTATTTCATATATTTGATGGTTAGTTCTAAACAGTACCTTTGAAAATAACTATTAAAAGGCACTAAAAAGGTTCCCCTGTGATTACCCAGAATTGGTTATATATAACGTTTTTCTAGAGTGTGCTAATGGCCCTCTATATTAATTCTTCCATACACAAGAACAGTGCAAATCTTAACGGCAACACTTGTTGAAACCAAAACAAATACTACTTTTAAAAGTGAGAACCGGTTAAAACTACCAACAATTACAATACTTTTGTATACGATAACTTACATATGTTCGATAATTGACAAATGATAGTGCATATAGAGATAACAAATTAGAGAGGATTGTAAACGATGTTGAACTCACCTTCATCCAGATCGTCCAGATCTTGGTGTTTTCTTTTGAATCGGTGCATGACAGCAGCAGGTAAACAACAGTGTGGATGCTAGTTGTTTAGGTATCCCTTTAAACACATTAAATATGGAGAACACAATAAAAGTATAAATTAATCACCATTAAGAATTTCTGAGTGGAGTTTCATGCACTCATGCTTGCATGGGTCCTTCCATTGCCCCCAAAATATGCAAGTCAGATGATACTTAACACTGCCATTTTGCCACATTTTAGCTGGA